AAAAAAGTTTTTGTAAAATTTATGCAGCTATAAATTTATCTTGTAATTTTTCGCGTAAAAGACCTCCAAAATAAAGCGTTTCTGAGTAGAAAGTAAAGAAAAAAATTCAGTTAAAACTAAAAAACCACATTTTTTCTCTCTAGCCATCAGAGGTATGGAGGTGACGAGATTTCCAAATAAGCTGTTATAAACTTTCGCTTATTGTGCTCGTTCTTTGATAGAATATTATTTCATTTTTTTATTCAATTTTTCGCGGAAAATTTCTTAAGATTGCCAGCATTTTTAAGTGAAACTTTTAAGGAGAAATAGTAACTTGACTAAAACTGGAAAATTCTGAAATTTTGAAGACATTTTAAAAATATTATTAATAAATGGCCCTTAAAAGAAATAATAACGGAACTGAGTTACTGCGCAGGTGCGTTGGGTTGGCGCAACAAACCATTTGCGTAGCACTGCGCCAACTCCTAAAAATTAACTGAGTTACCCAGGCCTAGTGTTAAGGCTGGAATAATTTTTTAATTGAAACTTGTAATGCAACCGTTTTGTTAGTCTTTCGTTTATTGTGTCCAGGCCGGATTTACAGCGATCTTTCGCAAAAAAGCCCAATTTCCCATAGTCCCGGCTGTGCAAATTGGAGTAAATGCCTTTTGTTTGTTTCAGTGCGAGCCCGGTTTGGGGGCCAGCGTGATGTATAATCTGCTCTACAACGAACCCACAAAGCTGATGTTGTTAGCCGGATGCAGCACCGTTTGCACCACTGTGGCGGAGGCTGCCAAGATGTGGAACCTCGTTGTGGTTAGTCCCTTGATCTTAGAACACTGTTTACGCGCCTAAAAGCCAGCAGAAACGGGATCTGGCATTATCCAGGCTGCCAACCGTTATTGATTACATAGGATAAATTTCTTCTCTTCCAACTATATAAGCCGGTTTCCGATTGGGAGATCGCGTAACCGTCTGTCGCGATTTATGACCTGGAGCGCCCACAGTCAGCACTGTTTTGCATGATTTATCGCTGACTTTATTTAGGACATTTTTTGGCCCAGTTCTTGCATGTAATGGGATGTGTGCGAATTGGCAATTTCGACGGCCCGGTAAACAGCAAACCATCCAATCAACCGGCTCTTCGCTTAATCGAATCAGTTGTCGCGTGTATGCAAATTGGTGAGGCCAAATTGCATTTTGCGGCTTCCGATAGCGCGGTTATTTACTCGGCTTTGCGTGAACAATCCATCCGGGCGCGTTGATCTGCATGCGGCTAAAATTTTTAATTTTCCTCAACTAAATCTTCTATTCTAGGAATAGTTTACAAGAATCTTAACTTCGATCGTTCGTCGATGGCCGGAGGCGCCCTCTAGGCTAATTATCTGCAGCTGAGTCTCTTCATGCCGATTGGGCCCTTGCAGCGAGTCTCCGCCCATTTAACTGAACCGATGCTTATACATTATTCGGAGTCCCTTTAGGACGAAACTAGGGATTTTTTATTTTATTTTCGGTCACACACTAAACCTTTCTGGTGTTGAATAATTGACAAAGTGTTTTGGTAAACAATACGGCCATAAGATCAAACTTGTCCCCTGGACGAGTTTGAGCGCTCGCTAAATAATTCATCAGGCATTGATCAGACTGACTTCACTGCGTGCTGAATATCGATAGCTTTTACTAGTTCGACGATTCGATTCGGGGCGCTTGTTCTTTTTTGTCGCCGTTTCGTATTAGTAATTAAGTGTACACAGTGCGCCAAAAGAGCGGTGTCAACTCGTCCTGTTGACCCTTTGGGATGGATCGACGCCGAAAGAAAAATTACGCTATATTGGGCGGGAAATCAAATCCCTGCAACATCCATAAGCGCCGGGAGCGCCGAACCAGCCATCTAGACTGTTCACAGTTCAGACTGTGAAATTGCAAAATCGAAACAAGTCAAACAGTTTCGGTATACAACTTAGGCTTGGGTAACACTGTGTTGAGTTGCGCTTTTGAGTTGTTGCCGTTCTCTGAGTTAATGAGCTGTAACTCATGGGTTCATGAGTCATAACTCATTTATTAAAGCGGATTAAAGCTGTACGAAACCTTAGACCGGAATTTAACATTCGAAGTATCGTTTTTTCAGCAACGGAACTGAGTTACTGAGTACCAAGCCATTTGCGCAGCTCTGCTCCAACACCTAAAAACTCACTGATTTGCCTTTTTTGTTGAAACGATTGCTTAAAAATGCGGGTTTTCTGGTTTTTGGTCTAAAACGAGGAAAATCGGAAATTTTGAAGAAACTGAAATTCTTCAGAGCGATGAAGTTTTCAATGAGTTTTCCAAATAGTTGATCATGTGCCTTCGCTATCTCTGATCATTTTTTTTGGAAAACTAATTTTTTCGAGAAAAAAAATAGAACTTTATTCGGATTTTGTGTCAAATTCAAAGGCAAAACGGGTATTCGAAAAAGACGATAAAGTAGAACAAACTAAAGGCGTTGTTTAGAAATATTGACCTAAAAGTGAATAAACCGGAATTTAAAAAAAAATTTAATTAATAAACCCGAACAAATTATTAGGGTTTTGTCCAAAACTCGAAGCTATAAAAGTTTTTAAAAAATGTTTATAAAGCGGTTAAGGAGGGGAGTGTTCCAATAGAATGTATTTGATAATGTTTCACAGAAAATACCTGAATATTGTCAGTGTTTTTAAGCAAAAATTAGAAAATAATGCGTTTCTTGCTTAGAAAGAATTGCTTACGAAAAACTTTGCCAAAACTGGAAAAACCTGAAATTTTAAATAAACTTTAAAGTTTTTTAGAGCGATGAGGGTAGCGAATTTTCCAATTTGGTTTTAATGTTGTGTAAACTTTTGCTCTCTGGTCATTTTTTTTCAAGATAATCTTAATTACTTTAGGAAAAGAAGTAAATAAAATTATTTGGTTTTTGTGCCAAATGCGAAGCTCAAAAGGGCATTCTAAAATCTCCTGCAAAGCGATCCATGAGGCCAATTTTCTAACAAAGTTAATTGTCGTTATTGGCTGAAGAGACCCCTCTTTGTTGGAAAAGAAGAAAAGCGTCAGAAAATATCGGATTTTTTGCGCTTTCGATTAAAAAATTTTAGTTTTGTAATCGGTTTTTCAGAAAACCTTAATAATTTTTCGGAAAAATGGGAAAACTTATTTTCGTTTTTGTCCTGAATTCGACGCTGAAAAAGGTTTTTGTCAAATTCCTTCAGTAATAAATTTATCTTGTAATTAAAGCGTAAAATACCTGCAGATTGTCAGTATTTTTAAGTGAAACTCTATAAAATAGAGCGGTTTTCTCTAAAAAAATCCTCAAAAAATCCTCAGTTTTTAAACCAACTCTACAGTCTTCAGAGTAGGCCTGGATGACTCAGTGAATTTTTACGGGTTGGCGCAGTGCTGTGAAAATGACTTGGTGAGCCAACCCAACGCACCGGCGCAGTAACTCGGTTCCGTTGCTGGGAAAATGTTGATGACTCTTTTTACTGGTTTTAAATTTATTTTAGTATCCATTTATTAATAACATTTTTAAAATTTCTTCAAATTTCCGAATTTTCCAGTTTTGGCCAAGTTACTTTTTCTTCTAAATGCTAAATTTTTTAAAGTTTCACCTAAAAATGCAGACAATCTTAAGGTATTTTCCGTGAAAAATTATGAAACAAATTTAGAATCCTTCGTCGCTTTGTAAAAAGTTTTGAAATCCCTTTCCAGCTGCAAATTTTGAACAAATCAAACAAATCAAAAAACGAGCACAATAAGCGAAAGTTTATAACAGATTATTTGGAAATCTCGTCACGTCCATTCCTCTGAAGACTGTAGAATTTGTTAAAAAATGAGGTTTTTAAGTTTTGACAGATTTTTTTGCTTTGCTTTCTACTCAAAAACGCTCTATTTTGTTCAGTTTCACTTAAAAATACTGGCGATCTGGAGGACTGTTACGCGAAAAATTACAAGATAAATTTAAAGCTTCGTAAAAATTTTAGAAAAACTTTTTTCGGCGTCGAATTCGGGACAAAAACGTAAATAAATTCCTCCCGGTTTTTCCCGAAAATCATCAAGGTTTTCTCCAAAACCGATCACAAAACTAAAAGT